GCGGCCTCCTGCCGCGGCCAGAGCCCCTTCCCGGGCAGGTTGTCTGCTGCAGCCTGGCCGAGAGGAAGTTTCCCCTTCCCCTCACAACTGTCTGCCCCCGCAGGTGGGCGTGGGTTGTCTTTCAGGCGTGATTCTTCGTGCTATGAAATCACGTGTGCCAGAAGGGGGATTAAAGAGGTCCTGGTCACAGCTCTTTTAAACTTGCCTTTACTACTTCCTTTGCCAGGTGGCTTTAAAAAGGATTGGTTACAGCCTGCTCAGCCTAGCCTAAGGTATTTTTGCTTCTGGTTTCAGACTTACGTTTCACTGAAGAAACAATTAATGTATGTTGTATTTGTGCTACTTACAGTTAATGTCTTGTGATGTCTCCTACTGGAAGGGCCTATTCTGTTTTAGGAACTAGTCCAACCACAATCTGAAATGATGCTTAAATCTTAAAAAGCTAATAGGTTTTTAAAGTACGTTTCTCATCCTTCTAGCAGCGGGGGAATACAGAAGTTGAAAACTTACTACTGCAGTCAGTTACAGCATTGGTTCCGAGTGTCAGAAATTTCCCAACTCTGCAAGTGTCCCATGAACGAATAGTACAGTTACATATAAAAAAAAATACTTTTCTTCAAAAAACGTTGCAATTGCAAAGGCAAGTGCTCGTCAGCTAGAAAACAACACTTCAGTTAGGAGCCTTGCAATGGTGGTGATGCTGTCCTATCTAAGTTTGCAGCATTTCTGTAGGCTCAGTTTCAAAGGCTTTAGTCAGGCAACTTAATAAAATCCTCTCTCCTGGGGCAGGTTTTGCATTAATTCTGGCAACATACCCAGGAACTAAATGCAAGATAAGGGATGTCCTGACACAATTTGTTTGCTTTTGTAAGCTATTTCAAAATGAGAAAAATCATCCAGTTACTAACATGATGGAGATGGCTAAATAATGTTTAGCGCTCTCTTGGGAACTGAACTGTTACTACTGAGCTATTTTCTGTTTTTCTTAGCAGTCTTCCCTATCAAGTATGAATTGATTACTAAAGGGTAGGAGATTTTACAGTCCCTTATCTCCTGTTTGGCCTTGAAAGAGATAATCGTTATTCTTATTTTAAACAGGCGTGAGGTGAACGGTCATGGTGAGGATGGAAATGAGCTACAGACGACACCAGAGTTCAGAGCACATGTTGCGAAGAAACTGGGAGCAATGCTAGACAGGTATTGGCAAGTGATACTAAAAAAATTTGTTCTATGGGTCAAGTACACTGTTGCTTTTGCGTGCTAAAACCAGGAAATTCAAAATCTGAGTGCAACGTGGATATGGAGGAGAAGTTGTTTCTTTTCTTGTCTCCATTCCTGTATTTAATGCAAACTTCCGATATTCTGTGAACTAACCTGGCCCATGTGCTGTGCCCTTCTGGTACAGACTCCCTGTGCATTTGCCTCTGTGGTGAATGGGTTGTGGGGAGGGAAAAGTAGAATTTGTGTGCCTTAGCACTTTCATCATTTAAAGGCCAGCATGAGAATCTTTCATTTATTCTTAGAACCTAAACCAGTACCTGATTCAGGGTTGTGCTGGCAGTATGCCTCTGTTGGGGCTGCCGCTGTCTTTATTTATTGTGTGAATATGGTGCTGGAGAACTAGAATTCCTGGTGTTTAGAGTTGGCTTTAGAAACGCTGCTTTTAAGTCACTCTTGTGGCATGCGTTGCTAAAGAGAGAAGGCAAGGTCTGCTCTGAAAGCAGGAAGGTGAGACAGCTTTACGAAGAAAAAAGTAAGAAGCTATCTAACATCTCTCTATAGTCTTGTTACCTAGAAATACCAAACTTTAGCTCAGTTTGCACAAACCTGCTTAAGATATGACTGGGGTTTTCTGTTTAGTTTCATCACTGTCTTGAAGGACTCATCAGGACCTTCACAAAGTTCTGTGCAACAGTCTGACTCTGCAGGTGATGGTGAGTTCTAGTTACAGCTATCGTGGCTGTTTTGTGACACTGTTAGTTAAATGATGACAAGTGGGATGGATCCTGTCCATTGCCAGTTGTACACCCGACTGACTGATAAGCATTTGCAATAGAAAAATTTCTGTTAGCGTCCGTGAAGGCTGTTACTTTGAAGCTGTGATCTCTGTGCCCTAACTCCTCTCAGATAGTCCCAAATAATTGCTGTCAAGCACTACAGCAATACAATAACAGCAGTGAGACTTCCTAGGGAGATTGCTGTTGATTGTTTTCACCTCTATTTATATCATGGCTAAAATTTCCTTTTACATATTTTAGGTTTTCGCCTCTTCTCTTCCTCTGTCCCAGGAGACTGTGGGAAATCGGAGCCTTGCCCCGCAGCAAGGAGGAGACAGCCATCTAGCTCTAGGTGAGGTGTTGTCAGCTGCTTTGCTCCTGAAGTACTAGTGCAGCCCGCTTTTCAGAGGCAGCTGGGACTCTCGCAAGGAAATAGGAAGCTGAAGAGCTTGAGAAGTGTGTATTTATGACGCCTATATTTGACTAGAGCAGATTTTTTTTTTGTATCTTTTTTTAGTGCCGGGGAACTAGAAATGTTTCTTTCCCTTCCTAGTATGTGTAAAGAACACCTCAGCCTTCAAACTGGTTAAATGCTAACTTGTATTGGAGTCCCAGAGCCACTGGGTGTTTATCAGGTGTTCTCATCTTAGATTACTCTGCTGTTTGTGCTTTGGGTGAGTTCAAGGCAAAAGTGTAACATAACTTCCTTTCCTTTTGTTACTTTTCCAGTGACGTGGACAGTGACCAAGAGTGGCAAAAGTACCAGGAGGCTGCTGTGTCAGCCGCAGACATTCTGAAGCAAAGTGCTTTTCCTGCACTGTCCCAGGAATCCAGCCAGGATCAGAGTCAGAGTTATGTAAAGCACAGCCAGAAAAAAAAGAAGAAAAAGAAAATTAGGGGAGAGTACAATATTCAAGAGAAAATAATAGACCCAGCAGAGTGTGACCAGATCAGCAAAGATTTGCCACGGTTGGTGTCTGCAAATGGACAGCATGAGAGACAGGACCACAATTGTACAGAGAACACAGTGTTGCCAGGAGTTGCGAAGAAGAAAAAGAAAAAGAAAAAAAGAGAATGAAGATTTTGCTCAGCAAACGGCAGGTGATTATGATGGATGAAGGATGCTGAAAAAAAACAAAAGATACCAAAAAGAGTTGCTGCAAATAAGGGAAGATGAATTGGCAAAGCTTCTGCTCTAAAAGCTCAGCGGCCTGACAGTCTAATTAAGTGACCTCCTATGTTGTTGGCATCCCTTGGGGAAGGGAACGTTGTTCTCCTACCACAGCAGTTATCTATGCTGCTGCTTATGCAGATCTAGCGTAAAAGGATTAAATACTGTGCACAGGCTTGCCTGACAGAGGGATTTCATCATAGCTGCAACCCTCCTGGTCTGTTCCTTCACATCATGAAACCAAATCTTGTGTCCTGGAAAAAGTATATGATGAATTGAATTTGGTTTATGTGGCAACAGGTGATCAACTCCTTTTTCTCTTTGCTTCCTCCTAAATGCCTACTAAGAATAACTCCAGCCTGTGGGAGACTCATTTATCAAAAGCATCCTGTCAGATATCAGGGCTCCCTTTTTTTTCCCTGTGATCATCATAACAATCTGTTGTTGAAACCTGCCATGTTACTAATTCCTCTGTAATCTGCACCTCTCCAGGGCCTCTGCATATAAACAGAGTGTGCAGTAAGCTTATTTCAGGGTTGTTATAAATAGGTAGTTCTGTTCAAGTTGTGTCCTTTGAAATTTTTTTCATGTGTAGTTTTTTTATGGCATTTGTTGTTATTAAATTCTACTACACTATTAGTCTTATTTAATTTGGCAGGTTTTGTACAACAGTGGCTTTCTTGCTCTCCCAGCAGAGATAAAGATGGCTGAAGATGGCTCTTTAGTTGCTTGGTGATCAATGCTATGAGAGTGCTACAGGAAGGACTTAAGCCTAAGTTGAAAGTCACTGCGTTTCAGTCCTTATTTTGGTTGATTATGACTTTTGTCTCTCTAAAATACAGTGGTTTTTGGTAATTTTCAGTATGCCTCTTGGTCCGTTCATACTTTACGTCCAGTATTTCAGGAAATGAACTGTTGTTGCATAAATACTCTTCTTCTGTTTTTAAGATTGTTGGGTATCAGTAGCTCTGACTCGCTTGCCCTATTCAGGAGACCAGAAAGCCAGATCAGAGAAACCGAAATAGTGAACTGCTGCTCTTTAAGCGTGGGAAAACCCAAGATGTTTTCTTTCTTACTGTAAGATCCTTGCTGGTTTTTAATCAAGAAAACACAGTTGGCACCCAAAAATGGAAAGGCTAAGTAGAAAATTGGCTTGTAGTCTAACTGAATGTGCCAGCAGAAGTTACTTGTCTTATGGCCAAGCTAGCACCTGGGGTTTCAAATGCATAGTGGTCTAAAAATTATCTTTTGACTTGTTTTATGATGATTATTTTTATGCTAACTGGAAGTTATATGTATTTGCAAATGATGCACATGGAAGATTAGGAAACAATTCTAGGATAAAATTCCTCAGAGAATCTAGTTACTGAAATAAGTCTCTGATGGTTGATGGTATCTAGAGGAAGATCATATCAATACAAACTGTAATGGACATCTGCAATTTTGAAATTTCCAGATATGATAGCTGAAGAGTTTGCTGTTGGGCTTTTTCTTTTTTAATTCTCCCTTATGTCTCAACCTTTTAAGAGTCTTGAGCACTTTATAGTTTCAAGGATTTTCATCTATTTCATAGTTGAAAGAATAGTTCTGTTTCAGTCTCAATGACAAAAACATGTTAACTAGGGCTTTTTTCATGTATGGCTAGTGCCATATCAGTGATGTGAAGGTTGAGAGTAAATAGAGAAGAGAGGAAGAGTTAGAAAAGGAATTATATAAGTAGATCCTTAGGGGTAAAAACCTTCACTTATTGCAAGTAAGACTCTTAGACCCCAGGGTAATTATTTGCATATCAAGAACTACAGAATTTAGGCTACATGGAAGCTAAGAATGAAGCGTGTTCTGTAAAGTGAATCCAAGCTGACACCTTTACAGAGAACAACTGAAGGACCCACTGCTTGTTGTGGAGCATGGGAACCTCCCAGGTGTTGCGTAGCGTCAGGGACCTGTGGAGAATGCCATCCCCCAGCTTATTCAGCAAGATGCACCAGATGAGAACCCATATGGTTAACGCAGAGAACTGGAATCTGCTTGCTGCTGTTAAACTTTAATTTCTGCATTTAAAACAAAGCAGAGCTATATCAAAAATAACCAAGCCATTTCCACTAGGATAGCATGATTTTAGAGCAGGTCATTTTTAACTGAGAATGTTTGGTATTTTTGTAGTTAATTAAAGGATTTGTAGCTTGTAGTCAGTGATCCCATACTGACAGGTTTGTGTCAAGCCATTCCTGAATCTCTTTCTTGGTGATTTTCATTGCAGTCAGGAACCAGGTTCTCTCACTCTTGCCTCCAAGATACTATTATTTCTCATAGTTCCCATTCATGCTTCTTTACAGCAAAGGAGATGAATGTTTTAAAGATGGTGTCCCTTCTTTGGCAGCTCAGCTTTGCTCTCTCCTGCATGGCTTAGTCTAGTGTTGGCAGGTTTGTACAGGCCCAGCTTGATGAAGGCTGAGCAGAATGAAAGTCCAATCCATGCCCTGGCATTTTTGCCATATTGCTTTCAGATCCCTATCTTGGTGGGTTTCCTTCTTGGCTGGCTTGTGGGGTTTGGGTTTGCTTGGGTTTTTGGGGGGCAGTGGATTTTGGCAGTGCCAACATCATCTTTCCGTGGCTTCTGTCTTGAGCCTGAGACATCTTCTCTCATGGAGGCAGCTGAGTACTCAGTACAGGGATTTGTATGAGAGAATAGAGGCTGGAGGTTGGCTGAGCACAGCAGCCTTTCCTTCCCGTGGAAGGCAGTGATGGCAAACACAGTTGGAGTTGGACCTGACAGGTTGGTCATGGCAGTCACCCTTGAGCTAGTTATCTTGATTACTGAGTGGAGGATGCCATCTGCGTGGAGATGAAGGTCTCAATGACATTGTGAGTGGATGGCAGCAGCTGACTGTGGCTGTTGGCGGCGTCAGAGCTTTGGTACAGCACCAGGCTGCTGGAGGACACTGTCAATGGCACAGGCAGAAGTTAAGTACAAATTCTCACTGCAGTCCCCTTATCATGTGTGCACACACTCGCGTTTCCAGCATGACTAAAACCTCCTGGCATAGGGGCATAACTCCTTTTTCTATTTTGTGTGCCATTATTTACCTAGCTCAAGTACAAATCTAGCCTGAAAGCATTGACCGTGTCAGGGAGTTCAGATTTGAGGATTCTAGTTGATTGTTAATGTCCTAGTTCTTATCTTAAAACTGGGGAGATCCAACTGGAGTCTGTTCATGAGGGAGTCTTGGGCTTTTCTGCCCTGAAAACTGCCTGCAGGACTGGCTATGCATGGACACTGATTTTTGTCAATATTTTTAAGGTTATTTTCCTCTCTAGATTCCGAAGAAGATCATCCTGCTGGGATGGCATAGACCACACACCCATTTCCACAGTCTTACACAGCCTGCACAGACAGTGCTCTGAATCTTTTCGTTGTACCAGCTTTTCAACACCCCCAAGACACTGGTAGAGCCCTCTTAGAGAATGGTGAGCCCCAGATACCATTTTCTGTCTGGGTTTTACAGTGTTGGCAAGAGAAACGGCAGTACGTGGTTTAAGACAATAGTGGCTGCTGCTCTTACCAGCAGGGCTTGAGGTGAGGCGAGGACCTGGCTGAAGGTGCTGGATGGTTGTGTCTTGGTTCTGTAAATGTATCGTTGGCGCCTGTGACACTGGCGTATGCATCCCAGACTCTGTGTGAGTCTCTGAGTCAGATGTGAATGCCTAGAGAAAAGAAAGTTAACAGTGCCTGGTTTCTACATCCCTTCTAACAGGCATGAGAGAAGAGTGAGCAGGTGCTGTTTCCAAGGAGATTAAATCCTCCTTGATGATGCAGTGAAGAGTTTGCTCTAATGCCTCCAGTATTACAGCTGGTACCAGCAAGGTGAGGAGATAAGAAAAATCATCCTGCTGGGATGGCATAGACCACACACCCGAAAACTCTTTGACAAGCGAGGAGCTGTCTGCAGACTGCTGCATTTCTAAGGGGGGGGAACAAAGGCATGTGCTAAAGGCTGTTACCTGTTTAGTTGGTGTCAGGTTAGTCAGGGCGCTGAGATTGGCTGTGTCTGTTATCACCATGGTTTGTGGTAAGAGGCCTGTATGTGTGTATTGGGCCACTTCAGACTTGGGGCCGTAGAGAGCTGTGCATGAAAGAAAACAAGATAACGTGGATGCTGGAGCTTTGCATGAGACTAGTTGCGCTAAGCTGTTCTTCTCATCCATGTGGACCTGCTGTCTGTCTCTGAAACAGTGGGGGCGGAGGGACAGGGAGATGAATGCAAGCGAAAAATAATTTCATAATTAAAGCAACAATAACAGAAGAGGAAAATAGAGTGCTGCAAGCCCAAGGACCCAGCAAATGCTCCAGAACAGAGCCTTTATTTTTTGGTTTGCTTGAGGAAATGAGTTCACGTTCTTACCGTGAGGGTTCTGTATCTGGGCCATGGTAGCCATGAAGGGGCTCTGGTTGATGTGGCTCTGGACCTGCTGCATGAGGGGCTGCTGGTAGGATGGGTGCAGTTGCTGGGAGAACTGGACAGGCTGCAGGGTAGTGAGGCTGCTCCCCATACTGTTTATTACAGGTACACTCTGGGGCTGGGTTGAGGCCAGGCCTGAAAAACAAGGACTGATGACAGTAGTGTCACACGGCTATGGGAGGAGTGTGGCTGCTCTGCAGTAGGGCGTCTGAAATAGTCATCATGGCAGGCCTGTCGTCACAGGGTGATTTCGGATCCTGCGTTTCAGGTGTTCTGCTTGTATCTGTGATTATGAATAGATTTCATGCCTGTGAGAACGAAGTGGGAGGTGGAAAATGTACAGTGCAGACATGTACCATAAAACCATCTCTGACTTCCAGTGTTTGTTCCTGTGTACATGCTTGGGTACCAGCATAGGTCACTTTACAGTTTAGTGATAACCCGATGCAGAGTTCCACTGGGGAGGCCTTGCTCAGAAGTAAACTCAGAGCATCATCTCATGTCCAGTTCATTTTATTCTTTTTTATGAAGCTGTTGGAAACAGAGAGAACTATGCTGTAGCTGTCCAGCCACATGGAACAGAGTTTAAGCTCATTTTGCTTGGGCTGCCAAATTATGGAATTTGGACCAGTGAGAAAGAGGTAAAGGTTTCACACATTACTACCCATTTCCCACGACTGTCCAGACCCTGTTCCTGTAAATCAGCAAGTCTCTCCAGCAGTGAGAGATTGCCAATTTTTTTTCTGTTTGTTTGCACAAAATTAGAATGCATATCATAATCTTGGGTATAAATGAGGAAATGGAAGTTACTTCACAGCTGTCACCATGGAACAAAATAAGGCCTCTTTCTTCCTGGGAAGAAAGTGTAAGATTTTCCTTTATTTTATTTTCCTTTATCTAATGAGATGCACTTTGGCAGTAGAGCAGTCTTGGAATGAAATCTCATACAGATCCAGAAAAACTGTCAAAGTGAAAAATACTAAAAAAATAGTAATTACTGCTGTGGGTTCCAAAGGCATATGCTGTTCTTTGCAGGAAGTAGAACAGGATGTTTTGTCTTTCAAGCACCTATGAACATGCTTCAATTTTCATAGTTTTAAGGAAGTATTACATTTATATTTGGGAAGATGCAGAACAGCAAAACAAAACATTGGCATAGGAATAGATTGCAAAAGTCCCTTGCTCTTAAGACCTGGGTTTGTGTGTAACTTAATTCTAACATGAATAAGGAACATCAGTCCCTTAATTCCATTGGTACTTGTCAGTAGTGCTGCTGAAGATCCTTAGTGTTCGTGACAATTTCCCCAGGTTTGTAGCACTGCCAGCTTAGTACTTTTGTCTCTGAAAATGAGACAGGTAATTCTAAAAATTACAGGTAGTTCTTTGTCTGAATCCTGTTAAGCAGAGTCATTACAGAACACTACTCACCTATCACCAGGGTGGAGGCACCTGTGTTGGTGAATGCTGGTGCTAGGGATGAGGTCTCACCAGCTCCAATTGCCATTACACCCGGCAGTGATGCCATGATAAGGTTCTGAGTTTGCTGGCTCAGTGCATGTGGATTTTGCTCTAGGCTGTGCAAGGCAGTCAGGGTGCTGACAGGAGGGAGAGTTCCTCCAGGAGCTGAGACCTGTGTGAAAGGAGGACCGTGAAAATGCCATCTGCAGAAGGTTGAGTATGGCGAGTCCCAAAGCTGTGATAAATGTCCTTCTCCCTCTTCCTGCCTGTTCTGACCACTTGCTAATTAGAAAGACTCACATTTGCTGGTCTGCAGATTCCCTGTGCTCATCAATTAACTAGTAAAGGTCAGCTGTTTAAATACTAAGAGTAAATCCTTGCTGGCTTAGTTCTTTCATATTTAAGAAATCATAACAGTTTTACAAACAAGAATGAAATTAGTCCTACTGCATTCTCTATAGGGAAAGTTTATCTTCTGTTTTACAGCTGAGGGTAGAAGACAATGCTTAGAGAAATTAAGAGGCTTGGGTAATTTTACATAGTAATTTTAGCTGCAGAGTCCAGCACAGAATCCAAGAGTTCCTCTTTTCTTGTTCACCTTTTCCTCTGAGAAATGCCTGTAATTTCCCTTTCTCCCAGCAAGTGTCTTTTAGTCGCCAGTGAGTTTTTGGATTGAGATTTTGAAGGAGTTGCTGGAAAGTTTCCTTAGACCTTTTTCTCATACAGTATGTTCTTCAGGCTGCATTACCTGGCAGTTCCCTGCTGTTAGAGAGGAAACGTACCTGGTAGATAGAACAGGACTGTTCTGTGCTTGGGTGTCTTGCTGATTCAGTCTGTCCTTGAGTCATTGAGAAATTTAATAACTTGACTGTTTTCTCAGCATCTAAAATGAACCACGTAACCTGTCTCTATGCTCTAATGGGGTTTTGAGTTTGCAAGGCCCTTTGGAGACCTGTAGTTGAAGTACTGTGGAACAGCAAAAGAGAATTCTAATAATTTGGCTGATAAAGTTCAATGCTTTGTATTATACTTTTTTTTCCTCCCCTCAGACAAAAAGCAAGTAAGAGTAAGCACCAACAGGTTAAACAATGGGACAGATCACCTTGATATCAATTTTAGAAGACAGCTGTAGAAGATTTTCAGCACCTCATGAAAGACTTTTTTTCTTCAGGAAGAGACCAGAAAGCCAGCAAAGTGAGTGACTGATGAGATTTAAGTCATACTCATTTATAGTGAACTTAACTTTGCCTCAGGCCAGTATGCACTAATGCAAACTTCTGCCAACTGTTTCCCTGTAAGCAAGGGAACATGTGCAAACTGAAAATGATCAGTCATGTAGTTCTAGTGCTCCATTGCTAATTATGTGGGAAAAGGTGTAGTCAAATCCCAAAAGGAAATTTGCCTTGAGAAGGCAGATTGCTACAATCTAGATATCCAGTAAATGTCTCAATGGTATGTGCTGCATACAGGCTGTTGGGCTTAATTTTTACGGGTACGATAGTAGTAAGTACAGGTCTCTTCTGTTAATCCCATTGGTGTCTGATCAACTATCTTGAGATGTGTAGAGTTCAAATGAGAGTTGGAGATGAGATGATGAGAATCTCACTGGGGAAAGGAGGAGAGAACAGGGTTTCCTGGGAAGAAGGAGATCACGTCATACCTTGAGCTCTGTTTTTTCAGAATAAACTGTTTTGATTGATCATAAGAAAATGGCTATACTTCTTGCTTTCATGCTGTAATACCTGCCCGCACCAGCAGTCTAGAGGGCACATGTATCTCAGGACTGCTCATGTTACATGATCAGTGCGAAGTGGCTATGTAATATCTCTATAAGAAGGTGGTTTTAAGAGTGTTCTAGGAAAAATAGTCTGAATAGTCCATGTTGTGACCCCAGGCAGAGGACTTGACGTCCTCCAGTCACCAGAATGTAAGTATACATCACTTACCAGCTTAGTGTCTGTGCTCAGTAGGTTCTGGCTGGGCTCCAGTCCAGGGGGAGAAACCTGATGCAGAATGGTTTGGGTGGTCACCATGGAGCTGTTCCCATGGTGGTTGCTGCTGGAGGACTCTGCCTCGCTGGCTGGCTGCTGGTTGTACCTCACTCCTGCATCACAACAGAAGGGAAACAGGTTGTCAAAAATGAGAAATTGAGAAACTTCGGCAAGTGCTAAATTCAGTTTCCTTTGCAGGCGCTTGCCTTTAGATGTTCGAGGCAAAGACAAGGTGGGTAATAGGGGAACCAGGAGAACAGGCATTCTCGCCTCCCTGCTCTGGCTTTCCTCTGTAACTTGGTGCAACTGCTTCCTCAAATACTGACTTCAACGTATAGCTGTGTGTGCTGCAGGGAGCAAGCAGGGTTCACTAGAAACCACCCCTCTGGATGTGGGTGTAGGGAGGAGAGAGTCTCAGTGAGATCATCTCTTCCCAGAGTGAGAGCAATTACCAGCTCTGGCCTATGAAGCTGGAAAAGCTCTGCTCTTTTTGGATGCGGAATGACCTTTCTTGGTGCCTGAAAACTCAGTCACAGTGTGATGGTGCTGATATGCATTGGAAAGAGTAGGAGGCACACATGAGTGAAGGGATACAGAACTGACTTGTGTGATGGCAGCCAGTGGATGACTCCTTGAAAGGGGGATTACTACCTGCCAGCTGTGAGGGAGTGCAGGATGTCAAAGAGTAAGTGAAGAGATTTGGCTGAAAGTTTTGTTACTGAACTTTGTCACCCTTGCTATTCTAGCCACTCTCCTCACTCAGAGACATGGTCTCTTTGTCACCGGTGCTCTTCTCTCGTAGCAAGTCTGCTTTCTCTGTCTATAGATTCACCTCCTAAAGGGCTGGACTTGAGAGGTAGTTTTGGTGACTGAGTTTGGGTAGGTTCACTGGTGTCTCTTTCAGATCTTCCTCTAGTTGTTTCTTACCGTGAACTTTACTGGGTGAGAGAGCAGATGGTGGCTGGAGGGAGGAAGAGTTGTGAGGAGTTAGAGGAGGAGCAGAGGTGGGCTGTGGTCCGCTGAAGGTGTCCATGGCCAGCTTGTGCCGGAAAGCCTCCTCCTTCCTGCGATTGGCAAACCAGTTGTAAACTCTGACCTCTGTCACCAGGTTCGAGCCCAGTCCCTGGGCCTGAGATGGGGAAACACCTCTCTGAATACATTCTGCTCTGTTGGGGGAAAGGACAAGAAGAGCTGGGCTTAGTCAAAGAGACAGAGTAAGTGTGCAGCCCCAAAGTGGCTGTGGTCTGGCACGCTGTGTGGAGGGATCCTGCCAGGTATAGCAAGACATGAGGCATTACGGATCTTTTGTGGACAGTGAATGCGCAGTTGTGGCATTTCATTCAAACGTGGCTGGTGACATCTACTGCTCTACTGTTAGCCTGCCTCTCGTAGGCGCCAGCAAACACCGAGATCACAGAGAGGCCCTGCTGTGACCCTCTTCCTCAAAGCCAGACACCAATCTTTACCTGTTGCACTCTTCCACCAGTGCCTCTCTCTCTTCTTTGCTGGGGTTTTTCTGTCTCTCATAGGCTTGGAACAGGATCTGTTGTGAGGCAGGACCCCACTTAAAGCGGTTTCTTCTTCCCTTCTTTGTGGGCAGGTCATCTCCCATGGGCTCCTCTGTCAGGATACCCTGGCCAGCATGTGTGAATTCTGCAGGCACAAAGGGGCAAGGGAGTTTGCTTTCTGGAAGCATTTCCAATTGTTCCATCTATTTGGGTGCCTAGCAGACCCAACGCAGCTTGCCCTTGGCAAATATCTCTTACAAGATGGAGGGCTGAATCTAAATGGGGTGGAAATAAAGTTCCATAATCTCCTAAAACTGGTAAGATGTTCCTAGCAGGACCATATTTACCTGTCCTTTCTCTTGCATGCATTGCATCTCTGCTCCCACCTTGGAGTAATGAAAGCAAATGCAGCTGAGTTTAGAGTAAGCATGACTGGAGTCCTGCTTTCCAAAACCATCCAAAGGCCAAATGTCTCATTTTACTTGCAACCCACCAATATGAAATTAAGAAAGACAGATTCCAGACAGGCTCATGAATGTAGAAGTGCATGCTGCAGGGATGGGTTCCAGTGGGTGCCTGTAACGAAGGGGCTTAGAGGGTATGAGGAGATAGCCCACAGTAGTTTTTCATGAGGTAATAGCCCACAGTGGTTTTCTGCAGTGAGTACAGCAGCCTGCAGCGTTTTGCAGCTAGAGGAACTGTTGCTTTAGCTGAAATTGCAAAAGCGTAGTTCTCAGGCAGAAATTCTGTCTCCGTCATCTGTCCACTACACTGCTTTAGTCTGAGGATGGGTGTAGAACTCTAATTGCAAATGGAGAGTATTAGTTTGCTTCTCTTTAGCCAAATAGAGGGTGTGGTAGGTGACTGCAGGCTGTTTCACGAGGGATTGTTTTTCCATGTACTGTTCGGTTCACCTCACCACTGAATACTGAGCTAGACTTCTCTAACCTTCCTGCTAAAAGTGGTTTTTCCTTCCATTCTTCCCTGATAAAAATAGGGAGGAAGGATTAGCAAGGGAGAGCAGAGGCCTTTATGAAATTGAGATAGGAGAACAGTTGTTGTCATACTTACGCTGGGCCACCTCTCGCTGCTTGCGGACATACCAGGTGTAGAGGGCTGCCCTTTTTTGGGTCTTCATGGGAGTGCCCTTGTTGAGGTGTTGCGAGAGGTGAGATTGGTTCAGACCAGTAGTGTCCACCACCTCACGCTGAGGGATGTTGTGCTGCTGGAGGTAGGATTTCACCATCTTTGCTACTCGCCACGGATCCTCTCTAGAAGGAGCAGAAAACACTTCTCAGGAGAGAGAGATCTAACACCTGCACTCAGCAGACCTGGACTCCAAGGAAGTGCGCTAGTACCTCCTGAGGTGCACCTTGCACGTCAGTCATCACCATTGCGTTTGGTGAGGCCAGAGTGTTAACTGGCTGCATAAGGGAAAGCTGTTCCTCAGTGTGGTACCTTGTTCAGTTTTGACTCTGCATTCAGGGTAAAAACTGCATGGTATTAGAAATGGAGTGCACAAGATGTAGCACTAGCTTCCTTTAAACTGTTCTCTATAGGCACTTTGATCTCCCCTTAGGAGGGAACCCTTTGGTTATCAAGGGAATTTCCCAATACAGGGCCATAGTCTTTGCTGTCTCTGCTTATCCAGATACAAGGTTTTGGCCTGTTCTGTCTAGGCAATTGTCATCTGTAAATGACAGAAAGTGCTGACCAGTGACGTGAGCAAGGAATGGACCTTTCTGCTGGAAAGTAATGTGAATGTAAAGCATTTTTGCTGCTAGTGAGAAATGGAATGAAGAGAGAAGTAATGTTGCATTTCAGTATTCAGTTGGATGTTTTATGACTACAAACTTCTTTTTCAGTTTCCCTACATAGCTTTTCTTCTTATCCCCCTTTCTTTAAGGCATAGGTGCTTGGGGTAGATGTACTTAATTTTCCAAGACAAATTCATTGTGCTGTTAGGCTGAACCTAGCTGATGCCCTGATTCTGGTCCAGGTTGGGTTGCCTTGCACTGATTCAAGAAATGAAAACAGGCTTTCATCATACTGTCACGTGACAGCTATGTATGCATATGTATACACCAAACTATCCAGGATTATGTTCTTGCACATCTGCTATGTGTTATTCAAACACACTGATTCACATCTAGATCCAGTCAAGCTTCTAAATGCAATAATGCACAACAGGCAAACTACTAATTCCTCCTGTTGCCACCCTCCTTTGGGGCAACAGCTGAGGGAATAGACTTATTTGAGACCTACTCACAAAACTTGAGAAGCTAATCTGATTCAGGATTTCATAATGAATGTGAATCTCTGATTTTTAGGATCTCCAATTAGAATATCCTTGAACGTTCCTAAGGAAAATAGAGAAAACATGACTCTGACTTCCTTGTGTGTATTGATTTCACCAGAGCCGAAAATCACAGTAGAAATAGAAAAATGTGAAACCAGGCAGTCTGGATCCAAACAGTGCAGGAGCCTCTCCACAGAAAAACTTTTGGTTCAGTTGTAACAAAGAGCATCCTTCTGTGTTTTCTATGTGAAATGTCTGGTGGAAATGGTTTGCATGCTGTAGAAATACACTGGTGTCACATCCAACACCAGCATCAAAGGAGCAATGGGGGGGGGGAAGGTACCTAGGATAGTGCAGAAACTGTCAGAAGAACACACAGGTCTGAGCAACAGGCAACAACCATACTGTTCATTGCTTTGTTGACTCAGGAGGTTGCCGGAGGCTGCAAAGTGATAAGGCGGACAAAGTCCACACCTGTTCTCTCAGTACAAACACCCTTATCTCTGTTCCCTGCAGCCTCTCTCCCGGTGGCTGGATAGTCCAAGGAGCAAGCTCCGCTGCAGTTAAAGTGTGACAGAAGCAGTGTCAGTTACAGCTTTCTGAAGAACCTGCTTTCTTAAAACAGGAACATTTGTTTCTCTTTTACAATGAGATGCTTGCTATAGAGCCTTCTATTTATTAGCTTCTTCCCTTAACCATCTTTATCTTTCAAAAGCCTCAAATTGGGCTGAACTTACAGAAGCTTTTCTCTCCTCTTTCTTCTGCTGTCCAAACTAAGGACCAATCTCCTCCCTTTGTATTTGTGATCGTCTAGCCAGCACCTGCAGCCTGAATTCATTATACAAGTCCCTATAGAAAGGAGAAAAGGCTCCGACTTGGAACCTCTGGTCTCTTAGATGTGAGTTATGGCTCAGATGGGAAGAGGAAGGACTGTGTTACCACTGATGGAAACTTCTGTTACATGTTGATTTCCTTCCTGCACCCCAATAATGAGTCACTTTTGTCTCCCCTGTCAAGATCCTCACTTCTTTGTGGTAGGAATAAAGCAGGAAGTGTCTGTGAGTCTCTTCTCACAGTGGTTAAAGCCCTGTGATTTTTCTCTCTTCTTTTGAGACAAAGCAGAGAGCTTTGTGAGGCAAAACAGTGCAGGGGAATCTTAGTACAGTATGATTTCATAGGACAGTTGTATGAAATCCTAGCTACTCTGTACGTCATCAAAGCACAGGCTGTAATATCAATGCAGCAATTTCCTTTAGGCCCAAGGCTACATCACAGAACAAGTGATGGCAGCTGGTCAGCTGAACCCTTGCATGAACCATTGCCCAAATACCTGGTTCCACCTGCAGAGCCTTCACCATTGACTAAGACCATGTAAGTTGAAACTTTCACTCTCTCACTTGTGGCAAGACTGTCATTGACTCTCAGAGGGTAGGATTTCACCCTGAACCTAGTTCTCCTGTTTGTAGTTGCACTAAAATCTAAATTGCTTCAGTGAGTCAGAACTGTGAAAATGGGTCTGCCTTGCTCAAGTTCTCCTTGAACTTCTATCTCCAAGCCTGTTTTCTGCTTTTTTTAGCTTCCCTTTCTCCCCGGATGCAAGCTGTCTCCCCATTCCTCTCTTGTTCTCCAAGGTCTAATTTCTGTCTCCAAATCCTTCTCACACAGTTAGTTTTTACTTCCTTCTTCCTAGTCTTGCTCTCCTGCTGTGAGTTGCTTATTGCCATCTGAGCATAGCCCCTCTCCCTGGCTCATCTCAACCACAGGGGCCTGGGTCCTCTCTCCATGCCAGCTTCCCATTTTCTTAGTTCTGAGGTCACTTTTTAAGGGCGTTTTCACCTCCCTTTTGTTACCTGAACAATAAGTAACCCAGGTAGTTAGTTATAAACTCAAAGGGAACAAGAGGCTGGTTGATAATTTATAGCAACATCTCAAATTTAAATGGAAAGTAAATATCAAGTTGTTAGCATTAAAGAAAACCCATTCCAGAGAGCTGGAGATGTAACATTCAGGGGACCTTCTCCCTCCTTCGCTCTTCCTGACTTTTCTCTTTTTTTCCTTTGTTTCTTTCTTTCCCTTCCTCTTCCTCATTCTCTCTGTCTCTCCTTTCCTTCTTTCCTGTTCTTGGATTTTCAGGCAAGAGAAGCCTTCCTTTCCCTGAGGTGGGTTCTGAATTGCTGCTTTGGACCAGACCTTGCTTAAACAGAGGTTCAGAGCTGTGAAGTACTCAGGACCATCCTCTGGCCCTTTCCTCTGGAGCCTGCTAGACAACCCTCACTGATGTCAGTGCACAGCCTGGAGCCGGGCTAGGCAGAGAGCAGGGAAGGTAAGACCATCCCGGCAGGGTTCCTTTCTATTGAACTTGGCCTGGTTTGCCTCATCTTGGTTTATATGTGGAAATGAAAGGGGTGTGGCAGCTTCATCTCCAGATTCCCCAGCTAGAGCCATTCTAAGACCCTGCTTACACAGGGAAAAGGCTGAACCTTTATCACTATAACTTTGTTTTCTTTTTTCCTCGTGGAAAACATGCTTTTATCCCTGCCTCCAGGGGAAATCTGTTGCTTATCTCAATTTCTCTCTTTCCTAATGGAATTTCACCCCTTGCCCTACAGGTGAATTGTTGCTATACTTCTCTCCACTTGCTGTACCTGCAGTAGTATGATCTGTCCCTTCCCCCAAGGTAGCCTCTCTCTTGCTTTCTACTCTGGGGAATATCTGGGAATTACTGCACACAGCATCATCTCCCTACTGAGTTATTTATTCTTTATCATAGATGCAATTTGTTTTCTGTGTGGAGTGATATGGAAAGCATGTTTTTATTCAAACTGTAGATCTATGGAAGATCAGTGAGACAGATTAAGGGACAAAATGTTAGTTCCTCACTAGAGAAACTAGAGAAACCTTTGTCTGAACTGCCTTTAGCATTTTTTTTCTGTAGGGACAAAAGCTAATCAATACCCACAGGTCCACCCAGTCGTGTGGGTGTATCTTCTCTACATCCTGTTTTACTCAGCTTTGACTAGTGCTTTCCAAACTGTGGTTTCAACTTTAGTGGTCCTGCGAGGACATACTTGGTCTCTTGGTGCTGCCATTTTTTTCCTTTCCAGCTCCTGGAAAGCCTAGCAATGGCCACTTTCCTGATTCTACTTTATAAGCAATGGCTGCAGTTACCACAAAGACTTTCTTGTATCAGTAATAGCTGCCCACAAGTCAATCTCTGTTAAAATGTGGTCTATAGTATTAGACCAGGAATTGTTAATAATGCCCAAAGAGGCTTCTGCTTAAAGGCAGAAATGCCTCCATCTCGTTTCTGGATTTGAAATCCTTGTGTAGATACTGAAATAGCTTTGCAAGCATTGAAGTTTTGCTGGGAATCCCTGGGCATTGAGATTCTTGCCTGCCTTTTATCTATTGCTGGGAATAATTTCTATTATAGACTGTTCTACCCTGTCTTAAAATACTTATAATACTATTTTAAGGACGTTACCTTTAGGCATCTATTAATGGAAAGGTTTGTTCTTAAAAACAAAAAAGTTTATTAGTAGGTAACAACTGCTTACATATTATCAAACCCTGATACTGGTTCAGATGCTTTGAATAGATTCTCAGACGTACAATTGTTTTTTTATCTTTGAACAGAAATTTGAAACGTGTCAATACAGACTTCCTACTCTTTTAACTGTACCTTGACTAATTTTGTTCTATTATATTCCTCCATAAGTATACTCATAATTTTTGCTGAAACTGAGGCTTCTGGTCCCCTCATGCTGGTCCTCAACAGCAGAAGTGAATTGCTCTATCCTGCGATATGGGGGACTGATGAAAGAAAACTCTGAAGTTTCAGAATAAAGCTTTGCAATTAAGACCCAGTATGAGGCTCAGGAGATACTTGTTCTTGCCCTGTCCTCTCTGCACTGTCTTAGGGTTTTAGGTAGGTCACAGAATCTCTCTGTACCTCAGTTCCCATTTGTTAAATGGGAATGCTGCTCAACTGACTGTCTAGAGAGAGACGTTCATCGGAAAGCATTAGTATCACAGGTTTGCAAGAGAGATAGGACTTGTTCCGGGGCTGGTCGTAAGCACAGGAAAGACTGGCAGCAAGCACCTAGAAAGGCAGGGAGGCTCAGAAACCAGAATTCATGCTGAAGGGTGGCAGGAAGGAATTGCCTCCATCTGTGTGTCTGCTCTTAATCACAGCGGATGGCACTTCAGTCCTGCTTCACCCATTCATTACAGAAAACGGAACAAAGCCAGGGTGCTCTTCTTCAACTTCCATGGCTTCCTTTGTGGAGAGATACCTGATAAACCATCAGAAGTTAATGATCAAAAAGCTTATCAGGGTCTTTTCATCTATAAATTTATAAGACAAAAGAGAAATAATAAAGCCATTGGATAATTAGTAACTAGCCAGGGCCCGCCCGGTGCCACTGGGCTCAAACTACCCCAAGACCTGTACGCAGACTCAGGAAGATGAGAAGGAGACAAGGATGAAGGGAAGAAGAAGAGTGGAAGGGGGAGAGAGAGGGAATTAGCCAAGATGACAACAAAATGGGAGGAATAGCAGCAGAGACAAAAGTGAGGAGAGAAGGGAAATATGTAAAAAGAATGGGAAAGAGGCAAAGGGAACAGAGGAGGCTAAAAAATGCAACAGAGCTGGAAGTGGGGAAGAGATGAGAGATGTACTGGGCCAAAAAGAAGGCTGAATTGTTGGGAATGTTTTCCCCACCCAGGTAAGAGCTGATCCAGTGAATTTTCCTTTGGTGGGTACTGCAGAGTCATCAACTCCCAATCTGCCAGGGAGCTTTCTTCTCCTAAGTATTTACAGTGAATGCTAACTCTTGTCATGCTGTTTTTCTAGCTCTGGCCTTTTGTGGTGGGATTTGATGTTTGCTTCTTGTTGTTACATTTTATGATAATTTCCTTCGCACATGAAAGGGAGTGATCAGAAAGCCTGAGAAATTCTCTAGATGGGTTTTAGTTTTAGTGAAGATTTTAAGTGCAGGATGTTGCTGCGTCTTTTTGTCTTCTATCAGCTTGTCGTTTCAAAATACCCCCAAAACAGACGGGCAAAATTCTGCTTCTGTTGTGATAGATAGGTTGGATGGACCTGATCCATGGGAATTGTATCCCAGCAAGAATCCCAAATGGGAATCCTGGTGAATGTTTCTCTGAGTCTGTAATGAGGCTTGTTGGTTTGGGGGAACTCTTCCTGTCTTTTGATTTCAAAAATGCTTGTATGCAAAGGCAAATTTGTGTGGCAGTAAAACCTGTAATCGTTGCTGCATATGTACTTTGTAGTCATGACAGGCAGTGGATGGTAGAATAGAGTGTTCTGCCCAGGTTTTAACCTCTGCATGTATTTGGTGTGTTCTTTCTACAAGAAAAATTCCCTCTGAAGTCAGGACAACTTTGCACTCACAAGAATGACAAGAACAAGTTCTCTTGGTTTGCCTTTGACCAATAATCTATAGCAAATTTATCCAGTAAAATTAACAATATTAATCTCCTTAAATATAGCAGGGAAACATTACAACTTCACTTTACCATACATCGTCAGGCAAATATAGCACCATTTAAGAGTGACCAGATTTCTTTCTTCCCCCCCACCCCACCCCCCCCAATCACTGAAATTGTGAATCCTGTTAAAAATTTAAATCCCAACATTCAGTCAGGGAGATGCAAGTTATACAGGCCTCGGACTGTTCTGAAGCCTGATGATATAGGCACTTCAAATATATAATCAGGCTCCATGGCTCCCTTCATGCATTTTATGTGAGATGAAAGGAAAGTCTGAGCATTTATAAAGAATTTGGGGCTGCTAGTCCTGGCATGGATGAAGACTGCCTCTGTGCAGCTGGATCAACTGTGAATACCAGGGACACTGAGTGGAAGGGGAGAGGAAGGGAGGTTTAGAGGAAAGAATGGCAGAAAGTTTTTGTGCAAGAAAGCAGCAAAGAGGAGCAGCAAATCTGTCCTTACTGTAATAGTCTTTCCACCACAGCCTTCTGGTGAGCAGCCTCCTCAGGGCTCAAATTTTCCAGCTCCTTCATTATTGGAGGGGTAAATTCTTCCCCGTCATCAGAGGTTTCATCTTCCGATAACCTGGACTCCCCCATTCCGTTGGGGAGGTTGGGGATGTCGGGACAGGGTTCCCCTTTCTCTGTCTGGAGGGCATTGATAGCGCGCTGACTTTCACTCTGGAGTACATAGGGTTCCACTTCGCTCAGCGCCTTGATCAGGGTCTCCTTGGTTAGCCCCGACTCCAGCAGCGCTCCCAGCAGCTCCACTTGAAGATGACTCAGCTTCGAGACCATGGTCTTCAGGCTGGTGTCTCTTGGATTTGAATTTTGGGTTATCTTTCCCTACACCATGTTCCTGAGGTAACACGCCTGACTGTCAGGAGAGTGGGCACAGCACAGCCTCCCGCCTTTACACCCCCCCAAAAAAAAACAAAATACAAAATTGAGCCACTTCAGACCCCCCACGACTGTCCTGAGCCAGTGCTGATAAAGGGACCCTTGCCTATCTGTTTACATTGGAGCAATGTAAATTCTCCAAGGTTCATATTTATCTGTGTGCTTAGCAAGTTACTGAACTTTGGACTTCAGCACTGCAGCAGCAGTTCACAAAGTGCAGAGGGAGAGAAAGCAGGGGGAGGGGGAAAGGGAGGGAAGCAGAAGCGAGAAGGAGAGTAAAATGAAGGGGTAGAAGGTCCGCAGCATGGAAAAGAAAAGTCAGCTATGGAAAGAAAACTAGGAAGATGAGGATGGAGAAATGTGGCTTATTTCTGGCCCCATTAGTCTTAAAGAAGGAAGGAGGTGGAGTACCCAAAAGGAAGAGGTGCGTTTGGCTGTGCATGGTTCAGGAGAAGGTGCTGCCATCGGAAGATTGCAGAGCCTGCTCAGAGCTCTGGCAGTGGTGAAGTTCAGCCAGAATCAAAGGCTGAGAGAAAGCCGCACTGGCAGCTTCACTAGCCTTTGTGTAACCCCCCGGCAGAGAAGCGTGACCACTGGGTTTATATGAATGTTCCCAAGACTCACAGGATGTTCTGGAGCTCCAGCTGACTTCTGTGGCAGAGCATCAAGTGTTAAATGACTTTTTCACTTCTGGCTTTGGCTTGCTGGGTATCTTGATATGCAAATACTAGTACCTCCATTGTAACTTGCTATGCTTATTGCTTAATTGATGAGCAGGAGCAGTGTACCCACATAATTTGGGGGATTACAGGGCTTGCCCCACTCAGCTTGTGATTCAAGCACATGATAAAGAATAGCCCTGGGTGTTGGTTCATGCTGAAAGTCCCTGCCCTATCATCAGTTGCCCTGCTGCTTCTCAGAAGTGCTCTGGGCAGGCTTGTGGTTACCATTTATTATCTACCTCCAGCCCCTCTTGATGCCAGCCCTGCTCTAAGGTTCTGCTCCCACCTCTTGGGTGACTTCCTAAACCATGCTCGCCAGCTCAGCTGGAGTTGCTTAGTGCAGTTCTCAGGGAGTCCTTATGACTAAATTGTCTTTTCTGGTCTGAAAACATATGAATGAATCTATCTACTTTGAGTGGCTAAATTAGGGAATAACTTGACGTGCACATGTGGACTTGATGCACGAGCATCTCATGCAAATGGTTCCTTGTGTGATCAACAGGAGGAGGATTTAAAATTATTGTCTCAAGGCAGGTTTCCTAGGGGCAGCAACTTGTCTCTCTTTATACACTGCCATCAAGCCTAAGTTCAAAGGAGCCTACTAGACTGTCCTCAAACTGAGTAACGTCCCAAGACAATGCTGCAGAGTGACCTTGGCCCCTGTTTTCCCTTTGTGGGCACCATTAGCCATGCTCTCCAGGCTCATGCGACAACATGCTAAGTCAGCAGCTGAAGGACAGAGCTCCTGTGCAGATTGGACCCCTCCTCCCCCCAGGCACAGCAAGCTGCAGTGGGGCTGCTGGGCTGACCCTTTCAACCAGGACTGTTGTTAACTGTTAGCTTTTGTTTCAGATGGCGTCTGCACCCAGAGTACCAGGTCCCCTCACTGCAGTGAGTTAAAAAACCTCAGACTCAGATATATACAGAAGATGCTCTTTGTCTTGCTAAAAAGAAGTAACAATTTGGAGTCCATGTAAAAACATTTAATGTAAGAAATTTTCATGTGAACATTAATGTAAAAAGACATCTTTAGTTTCTAAAGATTTTTTTTCCCCATACTCTTAATAAAGAGTATTTAAAGAATGGTGAGCTTTTTTGGCATTGTTGTATCAATGTTTTGATACAATTTCCATGCATTTTATTTTTTTATTACAGTTTTCCTAATTCCCAACACCCCACC